TACTCTCCCCCTCTCCCCCCCCCCCTTCTTTTTTTTTTCCTTCCCCCAACCCCGTGTTCTCCATACAAACTGACTTTACAAACACCCTCTATACCTTGAGCCGCAGTGGCTTAGTGGGTAGACACTTCTGTGAAGACCAAATGGTTTCCGGTTCGGAGTTTTTTTGTTTTTTTGGTGGGGGATGGAGAGGAGGAAGGGATCAAAATGTACTTTGGCTACCACTTTGGCCAGGCCTAAAATGGGTATCAGGTAATACGATTGGAAGTAAATTCGGCCGAGTGCCGATTGGTTTTAAATTTAGCATTGTATGCCTGATGTGCCACTGGAGTTTTAAAAAAGAGGTAAGAATTATTGATGACGACAGTTGAGAAGACAGCTGTCAAAGATTACTTTCCCCAAGGCTAAAGACAACGGTAGTGTTGTGACCTACTGTCTGAAACAGAGAGCGTTAATCTTGTTGCTCTTTTCCCCTGCCTGACAAAACGACGCCGAGTATGTCATCACGCGGTCTACATACCACACTGACACGTTTGTGATTAATTAGACACAAGAATGTGATTACGTGGTGATTCGGTACTCTTTTACATGTGAATCTTTGCTTTTCCTGTAAACCAATGTTAATTTGTTGTTGTTGTACATACATGAAAACATCGTGCCAGTACTTGCCTAAAAGTATTCATTACCTCTTCTTCTTAGAGTCCAGCCGTGTGGCTTTCTTAGTCATGTCTGTCTAAAACCTTCTGTCTCGTGTACTTTCAATCAACTATAGCACAGATAATCGTCCATGCCATGATGTCACACTGTCCAGTGTCATTTCTCTTAGTTTCCCTCTGCCTCTCCTTCCCTCCAACTCTGCTACTGTCACGATGTACACCAGTTGTCTCCTTCTCATCACACGACCGTTATTACAGCAACGCTAAATAATGAAGACTAAAACTATGCAGGTACTGCGTACTTTTGCGTACCATGCGTACCAGCCTATGGATGGTTGCTGTTGTAGTGTATCTCAGCGCGGTGACGACGACACTGAGGGTTAACAGAGGATGTGCAGTGAACAGTGTTCTCTTTACTCCGCAGTATTTTAACCAAGGGTTGTAATTTTGGCTGTACGTTTGGAAACTTACTCATGTTCCTAATGAGTTTTGAAAACATTTTTCACCCAAGCGTTTGGGGGCGGGCTGATGAGAGCCACAAGGACACATCACCTCTAGGGGCCGCCGAACTCCGAGATCCCCTGCAGCTCTGTTAATGCTCATTTGAGACATTATCCGTGGCGCACGACGAGGACGTGCTGTAGGGGTCTTGCGTGAGGTTCCGTACAACCAGGATAGTAAAGGACTGGCGCCCGAGGGACGTACGGAGTATCTCCTTATACACATCATGTTGGACTTAACTTCCCCTCACGCCTGTGACATAAATCACAGCGCCACAGCTAGTAATATGTCTAGTTGGGTAGTATATATATCTTCCTCACTGCAACATCCAACCATGTAGTCCAGTGATGCTCAGAAGCTCTCCACGTTATACCCTTCCACGAGTAGCGACACCAGTTGTCTGTTAGTTTATTTTTCTTGGTTGGCCCTGTACGTAGCCATTTCTTCCCCTGTCTTCAGTCTATTATGGCTACGGTTTGATGAGAATAGTGCTGCGAGGAGTTACCAGGGGATCTGACGGACGCTCAACACTCAAGGAAAAGGCGACACGGATATGCAATCAGACAGTTACTGGTGCCATCGGAATTGAAACTCTTCACTTGCTGCTGAAGATGGGAACGGAGCTCTTATGGGAGTGGCCCGAGTGCTGTAATGTCGATTCTTAAATCAACATTCAACATTCTTAAGTCCAATTTGGTTTGTTATTCAGTTTCGTCTCTCTTTGGCTTGGAATTCTTGCAGTCGGGTCAATGTAGCCCATTCACAGCCTATCACTTAAATCTCTATGGCAGTATGCTAACTTCTTCGACTATTGCTCGCTTACTTTTCCCAATTGCTCCATCAACAACCCTATCAGGTGGTCCGAATGTTAGTCGATAGACACCCCCCCCCCCCCCCCCACCACCACACACATCTACGCTTCACATATAACCATAGTCTCCATAATTTTTCAGATACTTTCCTTCAGCAAGCCTCTGCTTTTTTATCTTTTTTTCTCTGATTGCTCCCCCCCCCCCACCCACCCCCACCCCAAATAGCTCTATTCTTCGGTATTGCATGCAGCTCACCCTATTCACTCCCTTATTTTTAAATTCTCTCTCTAGTTCATTTTTCTATGTGCTTTTTGGCTGCATTTGTTTTTGTACTTTTGTGGGTCCCAGTACAACGGCATTTTAGTTATATTGTAGATAGGTAGGTCAGTTGTACCCCTTCAGGACATCACACAAGCGTTAAACACCCTGTGACACTAGGCGCCACCATGCAGAGGAGGCTCACCTGTGGAGAGGTCCCGGAAACCTAGTTCTGCCGTTAGGCCATATTTAAGGCCCGGCTATATTTGGGGCCACCGGCAAAAGCCAGGATTGAGCTTCCAAATAACTAAAAATTGCATCCCACATAGGGGCGACATATTTTTAGTAGTTATATTGTTCTTAGGTTTTGTAAACGTGCATCCTATGCAACGCTAGCTTAGGGGTTAGTGAATGAGTTTCACAATGTCTTGGATTAACCACTCGGTTATCGCGACTTCTGTACGTAAAGTAGGAAATAAAATATCAACAGGAAACAGTAGGCACAATTGCTCTGATGAGTCCGTCAGCTACAACATAATGTTAAACTTTTTAAGCAATGGAAAAAGGTGATAACCCGTCTAGACAGTGTAAAATTGTCATTTTGACCCAGCCAGGTCAGATGTGCGAAGAAGAAGGTTAACAACACAAACCTAGCCAAACATCGCTAGGTCCCAGTGCTCAAGCTGTGGACGGGGCGCTGTTTGTCCTCACTAGCGGACACTGACTTGGTAACCTCATGTTTTAAAATGCATCCTATGGTGTCTTTCGTGCTTTTAACAAAATAGTTTAAAAGAATTCTCTGCTTCTTCTTCTTCTTTTTATCGTCGTCGCGGGCATCATTAAATGACTTGTCGACTGGCATTGGCGATCATGCATTTGTGAGCATGATCTTTCACTTCTCACAGTTAACTTCTTGTTTGTTCCCCGGCTGCAAGCTCCAGCGGAAAGTCCTGGCTGTTCGTCCATCTGGACTTGGCTTCTGTACCAGGGCCAGAGTTTAGCGTGTTCATCCGTTTTACTGCCTTATATGTGTGCAGCTGGTTGTTCCTTGCCGCTCGATTTCTTACAATACTTGTCAGTTCGTCTATTACCATTTTATTCCTTCGGCAGCTGTCGTGATGTGGCGATCAGAAGCTTGCCTACCGATCCAAAGTTCGTGGGTTAAAATCCTCATGGAGCCGGAATATTACCCCCACCCCCCCCCCCCCCCCCCCCAAAAAAAAAAAATAATGACTCTGATTCCCAGATCAACACAGCCTAAAACTGATAAATACGCAACACTCTGGCCCTGTACAAATTCAAAGTCCAAATGGACGAACAACCAGGACTTTCTGCCGGAGCTTGCGGCCGGTGAACAAAGAAGAAGAAGTTAGCAATGTGTAACAGGTAAAGTCCTAGGAAGTAAAGGCGATAGACGTGATGCTTGAAGTAGTTTAGTGTTGGAGCCGACTGTGCTTTAGCAATACCGTTACATAGGAAACTTGCCTGATATGCTAGTGGCGTTACACGTGCCCGGTGCCTCTTGTTCGCGGTGTTCTCTCTAGAGATGGTAGGTTATGGTGCTCTGAAGCAACTTAACCACATGAAGTGTATGCTAATATCAGTTGGTGAAGCATAGCTGGATTAGGATTACGTACGGCACAGACAGCCCAGCAAGGTTGTGACGACAGTGAGTCATGGCACGTCTCCTACCCTTGTTGCACCTAGTGTCGTGAAGATAAAATGGTCTCGACAATTGCTGGAAAATAATGGTTGGGGAAGGAGAAAGAGGGGGGGGGGGTGATAGGGTATTTTGGGTCTTTGCTTTGTGAAGTATCCTATTACTAGTTTAAAATAACAACAACGAAATCAAAACACACAAACACATACACGTTTTATATTTGTTGACATAGCAGGTAGACATAACAGCGTTGAATGGAAAATGACCACACCGCAGATCAAAATATCAACGGAGAGATAATCTCCAGACCAAGGAGGTCAACTCCAGAGGGAATGGAGTTAGGTGATATCTGCAGCATTAAACTTCAAGAGTTGAGAATGCTGAAGAAGTAGAAATATCCATATTATCTGTTGATATTTATATCCCATTTCTAGAGTTTGGGTCTGTTTAGCCTATTGTGTTTGGCCCATATCTTTATAGACCGATCGACAAGCGTGTACTACAGACATCAAACCAAATTATGCTTAAGAGCATAAACTTATTCTTTCGACTAAAAAAACACAGATTAAATTTAGACTGTGAAACATTCCCTATAAGCTTACCCTTCTAGGGTTGAAGAAAACTATTTTGTGTGGCCGTTACATATGCCAAAATTATAACGCTGAACTGGATATCCGCTCTGAGGATGTGCTATCAGGATATGACTGTAACAGTCGGTTTTCTTACAAATCACATAGCCCATTGTGGCAAACCACATTGATGTTTGTGTCATTATTTCAACAGATCATTTTTAAATTATAATAAATTACAAGCGTTCATAAAGCTTGTCTGTGGCTTAGGCGTTGCGAACGCGCTTCGTAAAGCCGAGGTGTCGGGTTCGATCAAAGCTGCAGGCGATATGGCAGCAGGCCGCTTTGAGGTATCGAAGGTAGACCGCTCAAAGACAATTATGCCAACTACTGAACGTAAATTCGTCTTGAATTTAAAAAATAAACCTACAAAAGTTAGAATTTTGGGGTTGATTCTACAATGTCTTATAAAGGACAGGCCGCTAACTTTAACGTAAAGCTCATAAAAATGTGAACTAATTTCTCTTTTGTTTTTGTTTCCATGTAGGTATCTTTGATGGATCAAGACTTGTCGTTGATGAAGCAGCTGCTGACTCTAAATGAGACTATAGAAGATCTCAAATGGCAGCAACAGTATTACAGCTACAGCACTAGCTGGGCCTCGTCGTCTGCCAGCAAGTACCTGGACAGCAACTTGTCTGTTTCAGACACGCAGATGTATGATTCGGGGGATGATGTCGTGTCTGCTCAAAACACATTCTGCCTCACGACACACAGCGAACAACCAATGAACTCCCGCTGGTATCACAAGAACAATTTGAGAAAGGGGCCTGCCGATTTGGACACAGTTTCCGTTGATCCCAAGAAAATCTCAAGTCTGACAGACACGGCCATCACGAGTGTGTGTTCGGGAAAAAGCTTTGAAACTATTTACAAGTTAGTTTCACGACCTGAATCACAAGCCAGCAGCGAAATAGCCAGTCTCCACCCTGAGAGTGAGAATTCCTTCGATTCCGGCATCCACGAGTCTACTTCAGGCGATGAACTTACATGGAGCGTCTAGCTCATCCTGCACCAAATCACACTTCAATACATGATCCAGAATCTCCACCATTTGTTGTTAAGATTCCCAGATCGTTTAATTCCAACACACCTCGTTTAACAATCAATGACAGGCTAAGGTATCTACATCACAGGAGACAACCATCTGTCCACATTCTTTGGTCATGTCATGAGTAGAAAACTGGCGTAAATCCTGACGGTGGGGAAAATTAAAAGGGGGAGGGAGTAGAAGGGCATTGACAGATGATGGTTAGTGAAAGTCATAACTACAGACTTCAGACGCATGGAATTTAAGAAGAAGGATAAAGTACGAACAAGTTTCTCGACCCATTTTTTATCCAACTCATTCTCGCTTAGATACCAATGACTAGCATCAAGTAGGACAAAGTTTACTGATTCACTTTTAATCGAAGTCATCTTCATGTGGAAATCAAAAATACTGGCCAAGTACAATTACATGTCTTCATCTGTTGTGTGTAAAATAATTCAATATACAGACATTGGCTAGCTAAAACATGCAAACCTTGTAATGCAACAGGCATGCTCTGGCTAGGTTGTGACACACCGTGCAAGATGTAGTCATGACTTACAGAAATATGTTCGACTGATTATCATCGTCTGGTATCTACATTTAGTAAAGTCACAGTTCAAGAATTCAGTCTTCCATTGTTTGCCTGAACACAGTTTAACATGGCACTTGCACATTACAGTCATATTCGAGTGACCCTGTCTGGACTGACCAGTAACATAAAGTAACCTCTGTTGTTCCCAGAAGCTTAACTTGCTGTGCCAGATGCCACAACCATACCTCAGCCAAATGTCAGCAGTCGCAAAATCAGAACTTCACAAGGCCAATGCCAAATGATGTTGGTCGTTTGTTAGTTAACGTTTGCTATAACGGTGACTTTGCTTTGGTATGTTATACATTATCGTCGTCACTGCACTTTGGGCATCGTCATTCGTACACAGTCTTCCAATCCAACAGTCATCCCAAGGTAAACTTACTTACCCAGTTTGTGGTAGTACGGCTTGACGAGGAAAAAAGTGTCATACCCCAAATAATTTAGTTACTCATCCTTTACAGGAAATTGCAGAATCAACTCCAACAATTTTTGCCTGTTTGTTGTTTCACTAGAATAATTTCACATTCACTAGTTTGCTATTGTTTTTTGGAAGGTCTACGCTTGAAATTAACGCAAAGCTGTCGGCTGTCAAAATTCCAGCAGCTGGAAGTGAACCATAATTGAACCCAGTAACGAAGCTCGTTCGCAACATCTAAGCCACAGACGCTGAGTCAGTGCTGACTAATAAAAGTCCTTTTTTCACATATTTTGGCATATTAAGCACACAGGGCTAGACATATATCACGCTGGTCGGTCGCCCTAACTTTCCATGACTTTATCTGGAACTATTTTAAATTGGGTCGACAAGAAAAGCCAAGATCGTTTTTTTTTTTTTTTTAAGAAAAAAAAAATACGGCTACGTCAGGACTTTAATCCACGACCTTCGGATCCGCAGGTGAGCGTCCAGTCGCTACATTACAGCGACTCCCAGTATTCATTAATACCCTATACTAACATTTTATTTTTTAAAGACAAAGTCTCCCCAGTTTTCTGGTGACACTGCATTAGACGACGGCGTCCGTGACTTATGCCTAGCGAGTCTGACTCGTAATCCTAACGTACCACGATCGAAACCAACTGCTGACTGCGTGGATTTTTATCATGGTATGGGACGTCGCAGGTCGACCCAGCCTAAAATGGGTACCAGGATGCCTGTCCCGAAGTAAAGACGGCCAGCGTAATGTTGACCACATTACCCACCTAGTGTCGATGGTCTGTAAAAATATGGCCCTCTTGCCATACACTCGATACGCCTAAAGGCGTGAAAAGGGATCTTTACTTTACTTTCTGCATTAGAGGACGACAAACTATGTTTGTACAGAGTGATGATTGTTGTATGTATAATGTTATTTATCCGTAGTCTCGCTTGTGTTTTGATAAGTGTGTATGCCACATTGACGATGCAGCACTCTAAAGTCTGCAGATACTTGTTAACGTCAATGAAAGAAGGCTTGCTTTCCTAAAGTAGTACAGTACTTTGGGCGTTGTACCATATCTGTTTTAATAAATTAAAATACAATCTCATTTGGTTTCAGTTCATTCAGTCTTGGAACACTTGATCTCATTGTGTGAGATAGAATATCATGAATGTAACACACCATCGTCCATATGTACATGTGTGGGTGTGTGTGGGTGTGTGTGGGTGTGTGTGGGTGTGTGTGGGTGTGTGTGGGTCTCTTTGTATAAACTCAAGCGTTGGTGTGTCTTTGTTTCTGAATTTACTATCTGGTGTTTTATGCGTGTTGCTTAGTGTGTATCAGAATGTTCACGTAGTCCTATCAGAGTCCTCAGGTAGTCCTTCAGGGTCCTGCAGTAGTCCTGTCAGAGTCATGTAGTAGTCCTGTCAGGGTCCTCATGTAATCCTATCAAGGTCCTCATGTAGTCCTATCAGGGTCTTCTGACAGTCCTAGCAGGGTCCTCAAAAAATAATGTCAGGGTCCTCAAATAGGACTAACAGGGTCTTCAGATAGTCCTAGCAGGGTCCTCAGATAATCCTATTAGGTCCCCAGATAGTCCTATCGAGGTCCTTGGTGTCACATGACGCGTCTGTCGCATGTCTTTATTAGGATTTTCTCTAGTAATCAAAGGCACTCTGAAATTACTTAAGGTTATATGGTGGCTCGTATTGGTCTAGAAATTATTCCGTAGCACAACGACTATCTAGCATCAATTCTAGAAAGACTCCTGGGCTCCTACAACACTTCACAACTCATCACTGCAAGACCTTGTTGTGATGAGAGTAAAAGTGTCTTGGGTGGCCACAATTCTAGCGTAGCCCTAGGTACTTAGCTGCATTGGACTTGATCCTCTCCACAGTTCATAGGCCGGACTTCACTAGAAGAAGCTCTGGACAATGAGCTAGGCATCAGCTCTGGAGGTTTAAATGTTCACACTTGATATGCACTATTAATTTAATGTGCGGCAAGCACTTACATGTCAAGATCAACAACAAGGACAGGTTCCCTGGAAAAATTATTAATGTCAACAATACATATCGAATTTAGTAACAATCTGGCTGGGTTTGGCAGAAGAGCAGATAATGGATTCTGTATAACCATACATCATGAAGATGTTTGATGGGCACAAATTGTTCTATGTCAGGTATGACATCACTTGTCACCTCTTGTTGCTTCACCACAAAGACTGGTTTCGGGCAATCAGAATTACTTTTGTACTGTCTCGAGGTAGGTGTTGTCGGGTATTGATATAAGATGCAGCTGCCAGGCAATAGTAGATTTTGCTTTGTGTTTCTGGCACTCCTCCAGAGAACACAACACACATCCTGTGAACAAAGGGATACACGAATTAGCTAACCACTAAACAAAATGCAATATCAATCAAATGCTCAGAAGGTAGTGTTGGGCTAGTACAGACCAAACAGGGCTGTATATATTTCCCAGGCCTCTTAGCAACAAGGAATGATCTATTCTGTCAAATACTTCTGCACTAATGGCTGCGTTAGACTGCAGATCAAGCCAAGAAAGTGCGAACAATCAGTTCTTTCCCATCAGATGGTACCTATTCTCACACAAGCGGACTAAGTATACATGAATACATAAGAAGAAGAGCGTTAAAACATCAGATAAACGGCATAAAATTCTTTCTACTGACACCAGTCATTCTGTGTTACAGTGACCGGGACTGAAGTTACATCAGACTCGGTAACTCTAAACACCGCGCCACAACCAGCACTAAACTGCAATCTGGGTCAGCTCCTACATTTAATTGTATACACATGCATAGAACATGACCAATCTATATTTATAGAAGAATAAAAAAAGATACACGAAGTCCAGTCTGTTTAGACCATGCATTGAGGGAACATACGAAGACAACCCCATGGGCCTGTAGGTGAACGCTCTGAATTCGCATGTTCCTGTAGTTTAAATCGTCTGACGGCTATGTGCTGCTTCACATGGTTACACCCGTCTTACACTGAGCAGCAGGGCAGATTATTACAGTTATATTAATCTACAATGCGCTTACCCATGCTCATTTGAAGTTCCCGGGTGAACTTGAGACTTACAAAGAAGGAGCGGATAGCCTTTCAAGACAAGGGCGAAATCCGTCTGTATGCTTTGGAGATTGAGCCACGAATCTTGATTTGAATTTAGGATTTGCCCAAGTACGAATTGGGCAAGGGTAATGTAAGCTGCACAGACGGATGCAAGGAAAGGATCGGTCTATCGTAACAAGCATTTTATACACAGATAACGGTATGCTCCACACAATTAGACACACAGAAAGGGTAAGCATTTCTACAATGATTTATAGGTTTATAATTGAATGTAATAATAGAGAACATAACACTCAGTAAGAGATAATCTATCGAATACCATAAATGATAACGACTGTAAGGATATTATGTGGATGGAGGATATGAAATATGTAATGCAAAACGCCGGGGTCAGAATTATGTATGCCTGCAAAAAGGGCACATTCAAGACTCAGCGGTTACATGATTAACACTACAAAATACCTTTGGCAAAGTAGATTATTGCTGTTAAACTGCAAAAGTTTATAGTCAACAGGAATAGCTCCTGCCAAGAAGTCTGGGCAGTTATCGGCCAGCGAAAGATACCTACCCTACTCTAATACAGCAACCTTTTCTTCTAGTAATATAGAGGTTCCAGAATAGGCTGGAGACAGCAGTTGCAGCACTTGATCTTGAGGATGCCTTCAGTAGAATCAGATATGACATGGTGATGTCTGCGTCGTTCATAGAGGGGGAGATCTGCCGCTGGCTGTTGAATCGACTGCAGCTGTCTTATATTCACATACGGCTGCACTCTGCCCTGGTACTTCAGAACCATGCAATATCACCATGGAGTACCACAGAGTTCTGCAATTTCACTATTGCTTTTCAATGTGTATACAA